CAATTGGAGTTAAGTGACTTGCCCAGAGTCACACAGCTAGTAAGTGTTATGTGTCTGAAGCCAGATTTGAACTCAGGTCCTCCTGACTCCAAGGCCGGTACTCTATCCACTGTGCCACCTAGTTGCCCCCTACTCTAACTTCTTAATGGCCTTTCAAAACAGGGCACACAGAATGGAACACAATTCAACAAGCATTGATGACGGACCTCTAAAGAGCCCAGTGCGCTGGGTAGTAGAGCCACAAAGATATAAATGAAATAGTCCCCGCCCTCGTGGAGATTCCATTCTACAGTACTCCAAATGTTATCTTCACAGAGCAGCCTAGAGCAGAACCGGCATCTTGTTCTGGGCAGTGACTTTCTAAATGCTGCCTAATATTGCACTAGTTTTCTCTCTCTGTATTTTTTTTTTAACAGCCAAGTCTTTGCTGACTTATACGGAATCTGCAATCCACTAAAGCCCTCAGTTCACATGAGAAGTTGTCTAAACATGCCTCTCTCCTGTACTTAAGATAAGCTGTCATTCATTCCTGCAGCAAACGGGTATCATCATGTGATGGTCAATCTTCTGGCGAGGACAGGACTTTATATTTTATCCCTCGTAAATGTCATCTTATTAGATTGAGTCAATAAGCATCATTAAGCTAGTGCCAGGCACTGTGCCAAGCAATGGTGTCACAAAGAAGGGCAAAACACAGTCCCTATCCTGAAGGAGTTTCCATTCTAATGGTGGAGACGACATGCATTAAGTGTGTACACACAAGATATACCCAGGAAGGCCATCTTAGGAAAGGACCTGGGGGAGGGGTGGGGGGAGGGCTGACAGCCAAGGGCTCTGGTGGAAGGCAGGGTCTGTGATGCATCTTGACCGAAGCCAGGGAAGGCAATGGGCTGAGGTGGGGACAGCGTGAAAAGGCACGGAGTCAGGAGCAGCGCCAGGTGAGAGTTACAGGAAGAGGGCTGGTCTTTGGGTATCACAGAATACGTGTCAAGAAGTTAACTATAAGAAGACTGAAAAGATCGGGTGAGGCTATGAAGAGCTTTAAATGCCAAACAGGGCATTTTGTTCCTTGGTCCTGGAGCTCACAAGGAGCTGCTGCAGCTTTCTGAGTGTGGATGGCTGGGGTGATACAGTCACCTGTGCTTTAGGAAGTTAATTTGGCAGCAGGGGAAGGATGGATCGGAGTAGGGGAGGAGATTTGAAGCAAGACAGCCCAACTAGCAGGCTACAGCAATAGTCTAAGCTAGAGGTGATGCTGGGATGGCAGGACAGGACTTGGCAACAGACAGGATATGGGGGGCATGAGCGAATGAGACATAGAGGATGACATCAAGGTCGAGATGAAGGTGGCGCCCTTCCCTCTTCATTCTAGTGTCTTCTTTCTGTTCCTTCCCATTTATCCTCTAAACAGTTTACTGTGCACAGACAGGCATACCTTGTTTAATTGCGCTTTGCTTTATTGTGCTTCACAGATATCGTGTTTTTTATAAATTGAAGATTTGAGGCAACCCTGTGTCAAGCAAGTCTATCAGCGTCCTCCTTCCAACAGCTCATATCATGTCTGTCACGTTTTGGTAATTCTCACAATATTTGAAACTTTATCATCATTATTCTATCTGTGATGGTGATTTGTGATCAGCGATCTCTTTTTCTTTTTTTTTTTTTAATGTTTAGGCAATTGGGGTTAAGTGACTTGCCCAGGGTCACACAGCTAGTAAGTGTCAAGTGTTTGGTCTGAGGCCGGATTTGAACTCAGGTCCTCCTGACCTGAGGGCCCGTGCTCTATCCACTGAGCCACATAGCTGCCCCCATGATCAGCGATCTTTAAGGTTTCTATTTTCATCGTTCTGGGGTGCCATGAACTGTGCCCATATAAGATGGTGAACTTAACTAATAAATGTTGGTTGTGCTCCAACTGCCCTGGCCATCGGCCGTTTCCGTCTCTCTCCTTTTCCTCTGGCCTCCCTATCCCTAGACGCACAACACTACTGAGGCCAGTTAATAACCCTAAAATGGCCTCAAAAGGAAGAGTCAATCAACGTGATAAACTTCATCGCTGTCACATTCCAAGAAGTAAGACACAGCCACATCCGAACTTAGGCATCCACCACCGATCAGTCAGCAGCCATCATCATCAAGGCAAGACCCTCCACCAGGCAGGTACATCTTTTTTTAAACAATACTACTGCACACTTAACAGACTACAATATAGTGTAATTGTTCAGTCATTTCAGTCGTGTCTGACTGTTCTTGACCCCATTTGAGGTTTTCCTGACAAAGATACTGGAGTGGTTTGCCATTTCCTTCTTTAGCTCATTTTTCAGATGAGGAAACTGAGGCAAAAAAAGTGAAGTGACTTGCCCGGTGTCACACAGCTAGTAAGTGTCTGAGGCCAGACTCGAACTCAGGAAGATGAGTCAGGCCCAGCACTCTATTACCTGCACCACCTAGCTGGGAAAGCAAAAAATTCTTGTGACTTGCTTTTTTGAAATATTCACCTTATTACTGTGGTCTGAAACGATATCTCTGAGGTATGCCTGTATTTGTTTGCATGTTGTTTCCCCTATTATACTGTAAGATCCTTGAGGGCAGGAACTGTATTTTGCCTTTTTGTATCTCCAGCACATAGCACGTAGTAGGTGCTTAATAAATGTTTGTTGATTGATATGCCTCAATGGTAACAGGGAAATTTGTTACGAGGGAAAGGTCTAGGGGAAAAGATAAGTTGTTTGGGACGTGTTAACTTTGAGATGCCTACAGGACATGAAGTTTCAGATGTCCAAGAAACAGATGATCTCAGGAGAGAGTCTAGGGGCAGATACACAGAGCTGGATTTGTCTACATAGTGACAATACTTGAACCTACAGGAGTTAAACAGTACAGTGTCAAAGGAGACCTCCGTTCAAAGGGACATGTGAAGAACTGGTTTTTGGTTCTGGGGCCGACCTGATTTTAGGTGAGGCTGAATGAATCATGACCTAGTTACAAATGGGCTAATATTTTACTGCTGTCTTCTGCTGTCATACACACACACACACACATATATACTACCACTGAGAGCCTTATTCTCTAGTACCGAGATCAAGAATATACATTTGTGCTTCAATTCATACCAGTCAAATACATTATTCAGTTAGGGTCTGACAAAGCAGCATATTTGTCCATTTTATGCATTGTGTGGAAGTGAACGAGGTTGCTAAGATAGGCATTAATAATGACAATGCTTATCCCTTTAATCGACTATAACCTTTTTGACACTGAAAATCTAGCCATACCTTGTATCCTAAATTTAGAAACTTGTAAAAGACTAACAATATTTAATCAAGTAAAATAACTTTACTGAAAGGTTGGGGTTGTTTCCCCCACAAGTTAAAAGATTTCCAAAACAAATTCTTTGTAGTATTTTTGAGAATCCTTTTCTACCCAAGCAGTTCTATGTTTAAGTAGTTAATTCTTACCTGTTAACTCCTTGCCCTTCCATTTCTTCACCTCACCTAAGCTTAGGTCCACCACATCGCAAAGCATGATGAGGACAATCTATCTGAATTGAGGATTTAAAAGCCTGGTATGTTTCCATGGATGGTGTCCGCAAGGCTCTTCAGAATATTAATCCATAGCACCACCTATCTTTCAAAAGAATGGTTCATTTTCAAGACAGAATCAAATCTGATGTCAAAAATGAGCTCATTCTCATTGTTTTGCAAAAACACTCTACAACAGCAGACCTACCTAAATTGACAATGACATTTTGAATTGGGTGTGAACTAGTGATCTGAATCTGACCAAAAATTGTAGAGTGTAAGCTTTAAAAGGGCAGAAACTGTTTTTATCTCTTAAGCGCTTTACGTGGATCACTAATCAGTACTTAAAAACTACATTACATAAAGCCTCTCACGGGTGTAACTCACATAGGTCCTGACATATGCCATTTCACATCTTCTCATATCTATCAGAAGGCGATAAGGGGCAGATGGCATTTTTTTCTATTTCACATAAGAGCAAACTGAGGCACAACAGGGTTAGGTGTCTTATCTAAGTCACCAAATTCATGAGAGAATAAAACTGACTTCTCCTCATGTTCCAGGCCAGTGCTTAAGGATTTAGGGCTGGTATCCCAGATGATTCAGGCCTGAGAACTGGAAAAACAAATTATTTCACTGAAAACTGTCTTGAAAGTAATGAGTTAATCCAATTAGCATAAACTGTCTATTCTGTTATTTTCAGTTTCTGACAAATTAAAGATGTCTGAAGAATCATGCTTCCAAGCATCTTGTGCTTTCCTTTCTTTAGTGCACTCTTTATGTTCTATAATGTCTTAATTTATTCTTTTTACAAGAGTACTCATCTCCCCCTAAATGCACTGTACGGGGGGCCGGGGACCCTGTCCTATCAGTCTTAGAATCTAAGTACTTGGTAGGATCTCATTAAGATTCTTATTAAGTGAATGGATATTTTTATAACTCTCTTACTGTACTGTAAAACATCATAAGAGATATGCTACAAACTGTTTCTTTTTGGGATCCCTATCAAGGTAAGATCTTTAGAGATTTTTTTCTTTGTTACAATCTTGCAGTAACTCATTTAAATTATACTCTTCTTATAAGGAAGAGTCATTTTGTCCAACTACTGGGATGTATATGAAATCTGGCCATAAATGGTGAATGACTTAATATTGATAACTTAGTAGAACAGGCATAGTCCTCACTCTTCTAATCTGTCCTGTTTTGTTAAAATCCTCCAGTTTTATAATTCTTATCAAATGTTAAACTCATCTATAAAAACAAACAGTCTGAGAGCCCTCTTCATTTCGTTTCTACCTAGGAATGTTGTCCCAGTACATTTAAGGAGAATGCTTAGTCCGTTTCATGATGCCAATAACTTCTAACCTCCATTTTATACACACATTTATTTTCCAAAAATATATTGCTTATTAAGTCAAGAACAATTCAAACACACAAAGTAATATTTTGTATTTAAAATAAAGAATCTTTTAAAAAAACTTTGAGTGAGAGATTATGGTTTATTTTAACATATGGCGACTTAGCATCAGAGTAAGCACTTTTTTAAGATTCATCCACTGTTTCTAAGTTTCTACCAGAAGGTAAAGGTATTCTGGCTATGGTTTTCCATCCAAACACATCGTGCGCTTTTTTGGTCTTTGCTTAGTAGAAATATATCTTTTTCCCCCCTTTCTCAAGAAACTCACAGTTATCAATGTCAACAACAGAACAATAAAACTGACAGAAACCACCTCGGGAAAGGTATGGCTTTATATACGGAAATGACCTGACAATGCGGCCATAATCCATCAAGAGATGTAACCCTAATTGCCTAGTGATTTGTCCTTAGCCAGAATGCTTCTCTCTGTGTTAAATCATTCAGGAATATTGCCAGAACAGCCCTTGCAAAACTGAAACTCGGCTGTCAAATCGCTGGGCCATCTCAACCAAGACTGGCCCTGCTTTCAAGGTTAAAAGTTAGCCTCGGTCTTCTAATGTTTTCTTTTTTGAATATTCAGGCTCTCCCACATTCTCTGGATGCCCTTCTAAATATATAATTCAAGTTACATCTAGTTAAGTAGAACCCTTTTATGCAGCACCAAAGTAGTTTTAAAAGAAGCCAAATAACTAGATGTGCTCTTCCTTTGATTAGTCTTTAAAATAGGTTATCTTTAAAACATACAAATGAAGACAACAAAGTCCAGATTCTTTCACCTCAAATAAATTAAATACTTTGTCCACTTTATACTAAACATTCAAATTGTTTTCCTTTTAGACCGTCACCTTTCTTTTTAGTAACAACCTGCATCATTAGCTGGTCATTTTGAGACTAGTAGAGCCGGGCAGGATTCTCTAGGTTTGCTTTAAAACGTTCAAGAAACTTGGTAGCCAGTTCATCGTCCACCACTCGGCTGTCACTGGACATGGAGACGGTCACGAGGTCATGCTGCTGCAGCCTGATGTTCCCTTCGTCATCTTCAGAGAGTCTGAGCTGAGGTCGGGATCGGCCCACGGCCAAAATGCAGGACTGAGGAGGATTAATCACAGCTCGAAACTCATCGATACCAAACATCCCCAAGTTAGAAACGCTACGAGAAAAATAAAAGGCATAAAGGCATCGAGAGGGAAAATCCTCATGCAAATGACCTTTCTGACCACACAGCAAGAATGTGCTATTGAACCCTCAAGTAAACATTAATTTCAGATACCTAGAAACGTACACTCAAACAAACATAATGGTTTTTGTGAACTCAGTGATAATGGCAAAATTAAGGCCTTAAAAACTTAAGTGTTAACATTTTTCTCCAAAGTAAGGCCACAATTAGAAATAAGCACACAGAATTGTTTGCCAGTCTTTTAAGATTATTTGCACCTGACGTAACTCCTTAATAGTCTTTCAGTTCCAAGCAGGAAAGGATCATGTTTTAGCTGAACTTTTTATCTCTCCCAGCACCAAGCAGAGAAGACAATTAAATACATTCTTGCTGAACTGAAGAAAACAAGATCGACTGGTTCCTAATGTGTATGCGTATTAATTTCTTATAAAAACAGTACGTTGCAGAATTTGGATTTAAAAAAAAAATCATAGATATTTAGCAAAAAATATGTTACTTCAAGAGGTTCAGTTCCCATTAAAGAGCACATTCATTTATAAGTACTAATGATCTCTTTACTAATTTTCTTGCAACTTTTGGTGCTGTTCAGTCGTTTCAGTTATGTCTGACTCCTCATGACCCCATTTGGGATTTTCTTGGCAAAGATACTGGAGTGGTTTGCCGTTTCCTTCTCCAACTCATTTGACAAATGAGGAAACTGAGGCAAACAGGATGAAGTGACTTCCTGACGGTCACACAGTTACTATGTTCTGAGGCCAGATTTGAACTCAGGAAGATGAATCTTCCTGACTCCAGGCCTGGCACTCTATCCACTGAGCCACCTTGCTGCCTTTTTCTTGTGACTAGGGGCTTGGAAAGGTACATTCCAACTAGTCAGAAGAATGTTTCCTTTCTATACTTTTGTCACCTAAATATAGAGAAATATAAGGATGTTTACATAAATAAATAAAACAAATTGACACCAAGTGTGTAAGTCTCAGGTCTAGCTGACATTGATTACAATTAATGTTTCCACTTTACCTAAAAGACCCTCCTTGATATTCTTCTGGTAACAATTTTCCATCTCTTGCTTTCTTTGCCAGAGCCTTAAAAAAAAACAAAAATAAAATAAAATAAAATAAAATATTAGCACCAAAAATATTCTGGATAGTTACAATTGTCACCTGAAGATTCAGTCCACAAAATGTATGCAATTTTGCTAATTAAGTCAAGTTGTTAATTTTTCGTGATGTGCTATACATCTCTTAATTTAAACACAATTAGGAAAAAAAAAAAACAACAAGTAGAGCACAGCAGACTTCCCATACTAAAAAAGTGACTTTAACAGCCTAAGGGCAACATTCCTTTCTGATGTTTTTTTTTCTCCTTTTGTTTTAGCAGAGCTAGGATGACACTTCACATTTTTTAATTTCCAGTCCAATATTACCTTAATTATGCCAAAGTGCCTCCCTGTTCCAGTAATCTGTATATGATTATTTCCCATGATGTTTCAGTGTTGTTTATAAGCAAAGCAATTTCCTATTTTTGAATGCAAAATGTGTTGTTGCGAACAACAGCAGCCACCTTAGAGACTCGACTCCAATCCCACCTTCGTCATTCACGGCCGCCATGACCTTGGTTACTCATCTCTCTGGGCCTCTGTTTCCTAATCTGTAAAACAAGGGGCCTGGACCAGACAACCTCTAAAGTACCTTCTAGCTCTAAATTTTATTAAGTCTATGTAATCCCAGACATCATTTCAAGTTTATTTTTCCATGTTGCCTTAAAATGTTGAAAAGGTGGGAACAAAAGAAAACCCCACCTTCAGAAAGGCGACAGCTCTGTTTCCTCCAGGCTTCCATTTTCTTTGCACTGAAAGTTAGTGACATTCTTGGCTCCACATTTCCCAGTGTCTCAGACACAAGACACAGGGGCAGGGAGGCTGGTCCACAACCAACCTGACAGACATCAAATACTCAGCAGCCAAATTTTGGGAGGTGTGGAAGAGCGCAAAATTATCAATCACGGTTGAAAAGGTCTGGAATTTAATTTACTGTAATTTATCATAAACAGAATTAACAGGATACCACAGATATTCACTAATTAACAAAAAGAAGCCACAGGTTAGTTTTTTAAACTTAATCTCCCCTTCCCACTATCAACATGTCATCATGAATTATTGCCAAACAAAACAAATCACAAATATACACTTGTTGCTTAACAAAAGTATTTGGATCTAAAACCTCAAATGAAAGGAGATGGGTTTAGACTTGAAATAGTCCTTGAAAATTAGGACAGAGAAAGACAAACCAGAAACATGTTTTCCCACCTTAGGCAAGAGCACTAGTCACATGATTTGATCAGATATATCAAATGGACTTAACAAGGAATTTCTTTAAAGGCGAATGATCTCATCTTTTCCTGACTACCATGAAAACAGACTAAGAGGAACAGGAGCTACCTAAGAGTCTGAAAGGAAGCAGCAGAAGGATTTGGGCAGAGGCGGCCAGGGGTGCGGTGGACAGAGGGCTGGCCTTGGCACCTGAGCACCACGGCACCACCTGACACACACTAGCTACCAGGACACCGGGAATCTGTTCTTCATTGCTCAGGGCTCCAGACACGTGGAGGTACTGGTCAGCATGGGGGGAAGGGGGGTCCTCCCCTGGAAGCTCCCCGGTCCAGGCCTTCTCCCTACACTTTTGCTCTCTCTGTAGTCGAGCGTCCTGAGTTCTAGAAAGCTGTGATTCACAGAGGGGTATCCAGCAGCAGGGACTCATACTCCAAGGTGGTAGGCACTGAATACACATTCCCAGAAGAACACTGCTGATGGAATCGAGCAACAAGAAAGCATCTGGCATACCTTCACAGAAAGAGCAATCTCCTGTATTCCCTTGGCAGCAGCATCTTTTAAGATGGGTGTAATGAGACCTCTGTCTGTTGCCACCGCGACTGAGATGTCAATGGAGGACAACTGCTTTGGGCCCTCTCCATCCCAGCTCACATTCACATCTGGCATTTGCTGAAAGACAGAAGTAAAAGAAAACTAAACAGAGTAAAGTTTGACAGCAGTGAATGACTCGAAAGACCCAAAATGCATGAAAACATTCTCCATGGTAATTAGCCATGCCAGGCTGAGGCTCCTGACTTAACGACAAGTGCATTAGATGAACACAAGAAAAACGGAGACATTTTCACTGTCTAACTGTATGATTGGAGGCCGGTCATGTCATCTTTGAGACTCAAATTTCCTTTAAAATGGGGATAACACTTTTACTAACCTCCTCCTCCAACTAGGCAGATATGTAAGAACAAAAAAACACATTTTTAATGGAAGATGGAGAATACTGGAATAAAATGGCAAAGTTATGCTATGAAAATGAATTTTATATGTCCATAAAGCAGAACTCATACTTAGGACGCAGAAAGCAAAATAAGCCTCCCTAGTCCATGAAAATGAATTAATATAGATAATGTGAAAGTTTAACTAAAGAAAACTTTAAAAAAGAAAAGAAAAGGAAAAAAAAACATACTGTTGGTAGGTATCAGTTGGAAACCATCTAGGAAAACAATGACTTTTAAAAGTATTAATCCACGTCACTGTTGTAAATCCTATAATTTTCAAAATCTGGCAGAATGCTTTGGTGGTAGGAGAAGCATCACCCCTGACTACATGCTGCTCTCTTTGACGGAGCCCTGAAATGGGAATGGGAACATCACCTAGTAATACATTTTATCTTTTTTTTTTTCAGTGATGTGAAAAACTGTTTTTAAAAGAGTACAGTATGGAAACAGGACATTCTGTCTAAATCAGGGGTTCTTCACCTTTATCAGTGTGGAGAAACCATTTTGTTGCCTACATTTTTCCCCATTCAAGTTCACAAACGCTCTGAAGTCTCTCCATGGACGCACTGGAAGTCTGGGAGTCTCAGGTCCAAACCAACTTGCTTTGATACAAACTCCATTTCTTCAATGGCAGGGGAGGGATGAGGGTGGAGTGGGGGCGTAGACGGGAAGGAAAGAGGGAGGGAGGAGATGCTTCTAAGCTACTGCACTGGGCATGTTCATTCTGTTCTGTATACTCTCCTCATGCAATCTGATGGCCCTGGGATAGTAACAGGACATCATATTTCATTAGTCTTTGATTCTTCAGAATTGCTCTAAAACACATTAGCAGGACTAAAATAAAGGAGTGTATTTTATTTTATTTGGGGGGGGCGGGCGGCAATCAGGTAGTCCTGATTCCAAAGCCAGCGTTCTATTGACTGCGCCACCTAGTTGCCCCAAGGAATATATTTTGAAAGGTTTGCCAGCACCCCCAATCCCCTGAACTGTTAACCCTTAGAATCACATACAAAATCATCCCACATCACAAACACACATCTAAAGCAATGGGTCTGGAGTCCCTTGACTCAAGGCTTGATTTTCAGCTCTGGATGACTTAAGCCAGTCAGTTCACTGTTCTAGAGGTCACGCATAAAATGGACAAGATCATCTCAAAGATTCCTGCCAGCCCTACATCTTAGGATCCTATTTAGGTTAAATGTGGGTGAATGAAGTACTCCTAGCAGCTTATGCTCACAAAGACAGGAAGTCCAATGCTCTTCACCAGGGCAAATGGCACCCACCCCTACCACATGCTCCTTAGGTTTGAGGCGGCCTTTGGGACTTCTCAGCTTCAAGACCAACAGTGCTGTTTATTTTAACCAGATTTCACATGTATACAAATTTTCAGAAAGGAAGAGGACTTCTGCTTAGGATAGACAGAAAGAGATGTGAAAAGGGAGAGACAGATCTTAAAAATAAAGATTTCCTTAAGTTATTATATCCCTACTGAGCTCTAGAATATAATTTACAAACCTAAGTTTTAGAAAACAATTTAATTAGAAAATAATTATAAACTTGAACACCTTATGTATAGCCAGTAATGTACTGGTTTAAAATTATGATTCCTGAATTCTGCCCCTAGCTACACCAGTGACTCACTAAATGACCTTTTATTTAGGATTATAATAATCCCCAATACATAATAGTTTAGTAAAAAGCTATTTAAACCAAAGTTAGTATATAATCTTATTTCTGCCCTAGGTAAAAAGATCAAAGGAGTTTAAAGTCTAAAGTCGTTCAAAGAGCAAATAAGAAATCAATTTGCGATCATTTTTATATCGCCACTATGCATAAAAATATCAAGCAAGAAAGTAGAAAAATAATTACATGGCCCAACTATTTATTATAATCTCATAATTTATAGCACAAGCATAGGGCATAATTACATGTTTAAAACCCACACATAAGAAAAAAGAACTATGTCGTTAAATCTTCGTAGAAACGTTCCTAAATTATAAACCTTCATTTCTTTTTCTGGGGGGAGGGTGGTAAGAGAATTGTACTGTCTTACATTTAGATCTATTTTGAGAACTCTATTTATTACAATATCGGGAACTTTAAGCAGAGTTAAAATTGCTTGAAACCAAGCAAACGAGACTACAAATAAGCATGTGTCAATATAAGGAGTTACTTCTAAAGTACAAAATATCCAAAAGACATAAAAGTAAAGAAGCACTTTTCTACACAGTGCTATTAATAATACTTTAAAGGGCAAACGGAATAGGGTTTATTGGCCTTTTTTTTTTTTTAATGCCCATCAGAACTAGCTAAGGAATGATTATATTCCAATTCTAGGAAGTTAATTTACAGTGTGCTCTGTTAGATAATTTGAGTGGTAATCATTTCCCTCATAATGGATAAAAGCATTTAGGGGCAGGTTAAATAAAAAAAAGCCTATCTACAAGTTCTTAGGAGATATTTCTAGTCTTTAAATAGCTTTTCAAAATGCTCCAGGAAAAAATGTACTTTTAACAAAATACAAATAGTGTTGTAAAGTACCAAAATAGAAAGAAACATCTACTAAAATATGTTGGTTCCAAATGTAATTGATTTATGTTGCTGGTAAAAGAAGAGTAAACACTAATATGTATTCAAGAACTTTTAGAGAACAAGGTTTTTTGGAAGATCATACAGACACCCACATAATAGACTGTATTCCTTCGGGAAACAAACAAAAAAGAATTCCAAGTATAAATATAACAAATAAGCATCATTATAAAAAAGTAGACGATGGGGAGAGAGTTTGAAATGGCCTAAAAAGCACTGGACGGAGGCTGCTAGCCCTAGCTCTACTACCTGTAAGAGCCTGGACCACCTTCTCCTTGGGGCAGGTTCCCTGAAGCTATGACATTTAAGAAAATAGTGACTATGACTTCCAAACTCCCTCCCCAACAAACCTCATGAAGGCAAACTTCATTACACCTGTGTGTATACTGTATGTGGGTTACACAAAGCATGCTCCCCAGAAATGAAGCCAACAGATAAATCCCAGGTGTCTGGGCTTTGTTACTTACTTTAAGGGTTACAGCTATCGCCTTGATAATAAAATCATTTACTGATACTTTAATATCATCTGAAAGAAAAAAGAATATTAAGATCAAGACTACTGCTCACATAACCTTAAGAAGTAATACAATTATGGCTCTCAACTTGACAATTATAAATTGTTTTCCTATACTCTGATAATCTGTACTTGATAGAAATAGAAATTCCATAAAGTATGACACAGAATGGACAGAATATAACTTCCCAGGATGCAAATTAACATTAAGCTATATTCTGGTTATCACTTAGGAGAAAAAAAAAATTAAGTGCTCAGCAAGCACACATGTAACTAAATTCTTTTAGATGCTTCCATCAAAGACAAGAACTCATACAACTCTGAATGGGGTCCTGGAAGTACTATAGCTGACCACTAAAAGCCGACCTATGGTACAAACCAAGGAACAGAAAACAATGTCTGAAGAGATGAAGCAACACTGGCATAGGTCCTGGTGCAAGGAGGGTATTTTTCTGATTTTATGTTGAAACACTGAGATCCTTCCGGTAAACATAATGTCTCCTGACAAGGCCTTTTTGTTTGGGCCCATATAAAAACAGTCGTAAAAACGGATCCCTGCTCACCTGTACAAGCTTTGTCTTTCCTTGGAAAGAGGACGGCAAACAAGGCAGGACTTAAAAGTGTTTCTGGCAAGTCTGACATCTAAGCGATGACCAAAGTGCAGCTTAGCGTCGATTGTGTATCTTGGAAAGCAGCATTCTGCCGACTCTGTGCCCCACTGGACACCCCTGTTTCTATGGGGGGCGGGCGACCGTAGGGAAAGCACAAGAACTTCCGTTAGCTCCTTCTAGAGGGCCATGTAACTTCACAATGACCTTCCCAAGGCATCACCTTCCCAAAAACTGGCAGGAGATTTTTAACTGAGATGAGATGAATTCTCAGGAGGCTGCACTGTGTCACAACTCTCTCAGTAACTGCTAACTGTAATGGAGTATAGTAAACAGAGAGGGCTCTGGAATCAGGAAGACCTCGTTTCAAGGCCCCTCTCTGACACATGCTGTCTGTGTGGCCTTGGGCAGGTCATTTAACCTTCAAGTGTCTCATCAAACAATTCTCTAAGACTAAGCTGCAGAGAAGGTGCTGACCTGAACTGGGAGAGGAGCTTCTTCACCCAGCACTTCCTTGACTAGCGAAGTCCTAAGCCCCAAAAGAAAACAACCATCATCTTTAGGCTTTAAAAAGGCAAACAGAAATATATCTCAATGCTGATGAGCTTAAATCAACTGTGAAAGACTTGGCCATTATCAAGAAAATTATCCAAGACAATTCCAAAGGATTCATGATGAAAAATGCTAGATGGCTACCTTTAGAGAGAGAGCTGACGGATTCAGAGTGCACACAGAACATAGATTTTTCTTTCTCTTCCAGAAGATGGTTAATGAGAAAATATGTTTTGTATGACTTCATTTGTATAATGGGTATCATATTTCTTGCCTTCTCAATGGAGAGGAGGAGGAGCATATGTAGGGAGAGAATTTGGAACTGATAATAAAAGTTTAAAAAAACAAACAAACAAATGAACAAAAACCCACTATTTCTATTGGATCCAAGTCTTTATTTCTATCACTTACATATATTCTATCACAAAATTTGTATGTGGCCAGGCCTTATTCAAAGGCTCATCCTATTAACTTCTTGGTACATTTGCAGAGAAACAATAGAGACTTCCCAGGCAAATTTTCTAACACTCAGTTCCTTTTTCCAGTTTCCTCAAAACTAGCAATCCAAAGATCCCACATGTCTAAGAAAATGGTTGTGAATGAAGCAAAGACTCATTGACTTTAAAAAAAAAATGAACAAATTCATATTTTAGAGAACCTAAGAAATACTGAGGGAACATAGACTATTAGAGATGATGAGTACAGAAATTCTACTCTTGTAACAGCAGAAAGTAAATAGCCACCATCAATCTCATAGGAAACTACGATTTTAAAATGAAGTTCTATCACCAAGATTTTATAATTTCTACAACAATCTAAGCTTCAGTGTACATAGTTGTTTTTGGAAGATTCCTAGCTCCTGAGAAAGAAGAGTTTCCAAAATAATTTCTAATAATACTTCAAAGCCAAATGGAAAAAGAAATAAACATTCACAGAACGGACTGCCTTGGGAGGTGGCAGGCTCCCCTTCACTCAAAGAGCTGGGAGCGACCTCCAAAGTCACTTAATCCATGACTGCACCTCTTAAAGTACTACATAAACATGAATAATGATTTTTTAAAAATTGAATTTCTAAGAACTCAGCAAGTTTTCCCTAGCCACAATAAAATTTTCTGAGTAAAACTCAGAAAAAAAAGAAGGTACTTTTGACAGGCCCCTATTCTTTCAGAGCCATGAATAGCCACTTTCATGGGTGTCATTTCCTGCACTGATTCCAACAGTTTTACATCTGGTTCTCTGAACCTTTAGCAGCTGTCAGGCTGACCTTATCAGTGACCTTGAAGGTCCTTGCTCCAAAACCTACTTATAAAAAGTTTAACTTAGGTCTTGATTATCCCAGCTACTGGTGAGAATGAGACAATATTCCTAGAACTCAATTCTAAGTTTGCAGGATACCAAGTTTGTAGGAAAGTCCTCCACTACCAGGTATTAACAGCTGCCACATAAGAAATGCATAGTTTAGCAAAGGCCTTCACGAGGCTCTAAATGAGACTGCCTGACATATAAGGAAAGCTTACAACAAAGACCACTCTCCACCATGCCGTAAGACTGCAGTACAAGCAAACTAGACAAGGAAATTTTTCCCAGAGACAAGTGTATTTTTTATTCAAGTTGGTACACAGATTGTTTACAAATTGGAAATGCAAACGCTTCCAACCACCCTCTGCTTTTTCCTACTGCGTCTATAATTCTCTTCAAATCTCTCTCTGGTTGTCACTTCTGCAAAACATAGAGATCTACTGTATCCTAAAAATACACAGCTTTCTCTATTTACATAAAGTCAGCTGAATTGAGTTAGGTGAATAACAGGATGCTTTGCAGTATCTATAACACATGCAAGAAGTGCACATCCCCACTGCAGAGTATAAACATTAAGTATCTATTTATATAAGGTCACCTCAGTAAAACAAATTCAGGAATGGAAGTTATCCACATATTTCCAGTTTATTTCTCTACCCTCTACCAAGGAAATTTGTCATCTTTGACCCAGTTTATTGTACTTTAGGAGCAGAGCCCCCTTGGCCAAAAGGATCACCCAACTTGGCCCCATTGACAGGCTGACAGATGTCTAGTTAGATGGCCCTTGGTCAGACAAACAAGGTATCATCAGCCTGCACGGTGAAGTGACAAACAGAGGACTTTTCATCAGGCCCTGGGGTCCTGCCCTGGACATGGATGAGTGATGAGACCATTGGCAGTCACCAAGCCCCAAAGAGCCTCATTGCACTCATCACTAATAGGAAGAAAATGACACCAGCACTTACTGCACAGAGCTGTTATGCTCTATAAAGGTGTGACTATTACTGTCATGCTCTCCCTATGAGCAGATTTTAGAAGGCAGTCTTTAGTTCACTGCTAGCCCGCTATGACTGGCTCCCATAGCCACTGTGGTACCCATGAAATCTGAGGGGAGGGGGCAGGGAGGTACTTGACCGGATCAACACCGGCTCTCACTCTCTTCTGCTTTCAAGGTTACGCTTTGTGTGTTCTTTGACTCAGTCTTCCCATAAGGTGCGAAAGCTTCTATTTCCCAGCCCAATTTCCTTCTTCTATACAGTAAACCACAAGCCCTTCAATAGCCTTATTTTTTTAAAGGACAGTTTTGAAGAAAGTGAGCAATCAGAAAGGAAGGATCTGATGCAGTCAAAATGAATTCTAATCTTGTAGAAAAAGGAGAGCCGCTCCTTTTTATACCCCCCCCCCAAAATCCCCTCGCAGCCCTCCAACGTTCTTTGAGCAAATAACATAGCCAGGAGTTTTCTAACTGCTTTAAGACACTAAGATACTGAGGCTGGCTTTGTTTGGTTATTACACAAAAGACATTCACAAAGTCATAAAACTTCTTCAGCCAGAGTTCAGCAGTTCCTATTTGTTTATATAACCTTTTACTTACAGGAAGTTGGGAACAAAAATCCACTTCTGAAGTCTCTGTTTTTGCTTTACAACAAAAGGAATTCATAAAGATACTAAATAAGAAATACGAAGCCTGTGAATTTTCAAATTGCCTTTCTGAGACGGCAGGGATAGACACTGCATGAAAAATGTTTAAGACAGGATGGGGAATCTGCAGCCTTTAGGCCACATGTGGCCTTCTAGGTCCTTAAGTGCAGCCTTCTGACTGAATCCACATGTGGCCTTCTAGGTCCTTAAGGGCAGCCTTTTGACTGAAACCAAACAAGATTTGTTCTGTAAAATTTGGATTCAGCCAAAAGGCCGCACTTAAGGACCTAGGAGGCCACAGGTTCCCCACCCCTGAGTAGAGAACATTTCCAACTGGCCTTGAAAAATGAAGAACAGCCTTTCCAATACATAGCAAGGTGACTAGACTTTTATTAAAAAATAAGACAATGTTCCAATAGTTTTATAAAGACTCATCAAATTAAACTGAACAAATCACTACATAGCATGACTTGAATAGGATTAGTCCTTTACATGGAAAGTAATGATATAATAATGTCATTTTTTAAAAAAAAGTCAAAGAGTAAACTAGTCACCAAGCCCCGAAGAGTCTCACTGCTGTCATGCTGTCAAAGAGTAAGTTGGAAACTCTTACTCAGCCCCGGGGAATGTGAATGAATATGAGGTACATTAACAATTATATTATTATACATTATACTATATATCATATATTATATAATTTTATATCAAACAGTCTTACAATCAACAAATTATAAACATCTGTTCAATTTGCTCTTATCAGTTCGAACAGGTTTTCCTAAGTTTCTATGAATTCTTATTTCCAACGGAATACTATTGTACAGTAAGAAATTAAGTTCTCACATCACAATTTGTTCAACCATTCCAGAATTAATGGGATCTTACTTTCCCCCTTGTTCTTTACTATCACAAAAAGTATTGTTCTATTTTGCTTCTATGCGACCTTTCTTTCTTTGACTTTTTGAAGGTTATATACCTAGTAGTGCTATCAATGGGTCAAATGATCTATACACTACCACAGCGTTTGAAAACAATTCTACAAACTGACAGTTCTGCCAAGAGGGTCTCAGTGTGCCTGTCTTCTCGGAGCCTCTCCAACACCGATTTTCCTCTTCTATCACCTTTGCCGATCCAATGGATTGGAAGGTGAAAATTGAGCTGTTTTCATTTGCATTTCTATTCTTAGTGCCTTACAGCATCCTTTCTTCACAAGGTGGCTGATGACTTGCAAATCCTTCTTTGGAAAACTACCTATTCAGAGCTTTTTTATTACTACACCATTTCATTCCCAAAAGGAAAATTTATAAGTTACAGAGGGGAAGTGGAATACAGGATGTCACCAAAGAAATGTAAGATTGGAAAAGAACAGGGGCTGGTCATGTGACAAGAGGAGGGTTCCGCTGACAGATGCTGTGAGCTTTACTTGTGCCTCTGCAACATAGGGAGAAACAAAGCAAGTCCTCCAGCACGTTCAGTAGTCCCCCCGGCAAACTTACGGAAGGGAGAGAGACAGATGGGCAGGTTAAGACAACTTCACTTGGGGTCCTGCAGGGATTTCTTTAAACTCAAGTCTCCCAGCCCCAGCTTATTGTGTGTAGTCTCACAAACTGATACAGCATCATCTTTTACTATACTTTCCTGGAAATATTTTTAGCAGTGTTTCATAATTAGTATATTAAGCTGATGTGTCCCCTGGCTGCCTATATCTCTCCACAAGGCAAGGAAGTCAAGTGTTTGTTAACTCAGGAGGGTTTTTGTCACTTTGAGACTCATTATGGCAACTGATTTACAATGGTTAAATTTCCTTATGAAATTACTAAAAAAACCAACATCCTTCCTTCCATCCATTTCCCATTTTTCAATGTCAATAACTTGTTTTAACAGGCCAGATTTTTTTCCTCATTTTTATTTTTTATTAAGATCTAACAAGTTCATCATCTGAGTGTATACAAACATGTGATTCAGTAATTACTCCCATACCAGGAATGAGCTACTGACTGCCTGTTATATAAAATCGTGTGTGTGTGTGTGTGTGTGTGTGTGTGTGAGATTATTCTGTGATAGCCACATCCTGGGTCCGTCACACACTTTCTCATTGAAAATTTTCATGATGCACAGGCATAAATTTTCTGTGAAGTCTAAAAAAGCTTTAGTCCCTGCTTACTTATTCTTAAGCCATATTTTGTAATATACTTTTTATAATTCTTACCCATCTGACACTTGCACTGAAGTCATCAAGTATCAAAGTATATGGAAATATATTTGAACTCAGGAACAGCAAGTTCAAAACTGGTCTCAGACATTAGCTGTGTGACTGTGGGCAAATCATTTCACCACGGTCTGCTTCCGTGTCCTCAACTGTAAAATGGAGCTAATAACAGCAACTGTCTCCTAGGTTTGTTGTGAGGATAAAACGAGATGACATTTATACAATTCCTTCCTTTCTTCCTTTGTCCCAAGAAACTCTTGTTTCTGGTTTCCTCTGAACATACAATATAACAGATTATTTTAGCTGATTCTCCAAGAAGCACCTGTGAACTGTTTTGCTGTCTTTCCACTCTGCTGCAACTTTTGTGTTCTGGTTCTACTTACAGTGAAACTGTTAAGGCTTGATATGATTCAGTTTCTACATTAGCCTGTCCTTCTGTTGGTCACTGGATAAAGACTCACACATTTAGAGTACCGAGAGATAAATTAATATTTAAATAACCAATTAATAATAATGAATTAATGCCTCTGGATTGTCTAAAATTCAGAGAATTTTTGCACCCTCTGCCTTGTTTTTTGCTAAAAAATATATTTCAAATAACTACAGCAAAATGGAGCATGATAAATGTGTAAGGAGGCAGGAGGAGAGAGCTGGGGTGGATACGAGGTTACAGAAAGCAACAATGAAAAGATAACAAATTCCGGGGTAAAAACTGTTCAAAAACTGATGCTCCTAATTATGACAATGAATTGTCTCGGGAATCAAAAAGGATTAAATTTTCTTCAGTCTGGTTTTAGTTTTCATTATCTTTGAATTCCCTGAAAAACAGCTAATCCATAGGAGCTTATGTGTGTGTGTGTGTGTGTGTGTGTGTGTGTGTGTGTGTGTTGAACTGAATTTTTAATATTATTACTATTATATCGTGGCAGAGGAAGAAAGAGGATAAATTGGAGAGAAAGAGAAACCATCAAGTGATTTAGAGGTTCCATAACCAGGGTAAGTTCCTTTCTCTAGAATCCAAGGATCTGATGTATTTCTTCCTTTAAGTAAGATGAAATGTCATGAAACTTTACTTATTTCTTAACTTTAATATAAATATAATTCTATCACCTGGCACACTGGAAAGAGCACTGGCTTAGGAGTCAGAGAACATGAATTCAAATCCCACTCCGACATTTATTACCTCTGTGACTTGAGGCAAGTCACCGAACTTTCATGGATTGCCATTTCTTCAGCTTTAAACAAGGGGTTGGTCTATAGTTCTTTCTAACTCTAAATCTGTGGCGTTATGACTTCAAATCATCTTTTAAATGTTAAAGCTATATATGTGTACACAACAGAGAATTTGAGTTTCACAAATAATATGATTCATAAGAGACAAATTAGATATGCTCATTGAATTACCTAAAGTCACTTTTTACTAACCTTTGACAAGACTTTGTCTTAGTTTTAAGACAGCTCCAACGTCACAGTCAGCAGTAGCATATGCATGAGGTACAGTATTTTTAGATTCAGTTAGCCTCTTGGCAATTACTCTTCTAACATTGCTGGCAGGGATTTCAGTGAATGTGCCCTAAAAAGAAACAGTAATGTATCTGTTAAACCACGGGTGGCAGAAGAATGAAAAAGTACCCAACTGGGATCTTGTCCCAATAACCTTAACTTATAACATTAATTGAAAATTAATGTAGAAAGCAGATCATTTAAGAGGAATGAGGTAACCTCTTGTTTCTATGAGAAAAAGTAGAAAGATATACAGTAGGTTAATAAAACAAATTAATAAAAAATAAGAGAAAATGACTTGCACCTTAACTATGTACTAGCATGACCAGAATAGCCAACAGGGGAAATCAAACTTGCAAGAAGTTAGTTTTGTATTACTGGACTTGAGATTACAAAGAATACATGGAATTTCTGTGTCAAACAGGATTACAGTTCAGTGTGCCAATTTCTATGCAGAAAATAGCTTAGAACTTTTAAAAAACTGTGTATACTATATTATTATATAATTATTTAAAAAACTGATTTCTTTATAATTAATGCTTAAGAAATATACATGGCAACACAGTTAATGTCCATTTTATAATATTTCAATCTGTTTTGGTTTTTAATTCTTCATGGCACATCATTCCTGAAAATGCAAAATTTGCACAGAAGGTATTACCACTGCATTAGGCTGCCCTGGAGTAGAAACTGGTGGAATCATTGGCCTTGGGTAAGATGGCGGCCCAGGAGCTGGAGGAGCTTGAGGAGGTGAAGGCACTGCAGTTGTAGTAGGCGGTGCTGGAGAAGGTCTTGATTCAGCAAGTTTGCCTGATTTTTTTAGCTGCACAAGTTTAAGGGCATCTCTAGAGATAAGACAGATGTCAAGGACACTTATTGGCAACAATGCATGTATAACATTTCACATAGGGGAAAAATTCTGATTAAAAGAACAACTAAAGGCAATTATCAAAACACCTTTATCCCCGCCCCCCCCCCCCCATTTCAAGGAACTGTACCTGTCCACTCTCCCTCTCCCAACCTGAAAAGTCCCTAATCTTTCCTCTAATTAGAAATCAGATTACCTAATTTTGTATCCTGGTTAACTGTTTTCTTTTAATTAACTGATCTTATTTAATTGTTTTTAATACAGAAAAGTCTGCCCTCCCTGTATTTGGGGTCCAGTCTTAACCTGAGGAGGTCTATTTGTGATTTGTTATGGAATTGGCATGCACTGCTTAATAAATTGATATGCTCAGAAACTCAAACCTTTGTTTCCTTAGTCATTTCATCTTTCACCCTCCACACAAGTTTGCACCCAATATAAAATTATAAAAGAGAATACTTCAATTCAGCATGACAACCTACAATGCACAGGAAGGTTATCATATTAATCTTAATTACATATTTTATGATCTATATACTTTTACCAGATATTTAAGTTCCCAAGACATTTTAAGTCTGGAGTAGCTTTAGCACAAATCTTGATTTTTTTAGATGATATTAAAATGATTTCTAGTTGACTCGAGTATATAAAACAAGACATATTTTTTTAGTCTATAAAACAAGACATATTTTTAATTAGTCTACTGATGCTCTAGTAAGATGTGGGGTAAGAAATTCATGTGAGTGTTTACTTAATGCTTTTATTTTTTTCTACTGTTTCAAAATCAGAAATGAATCACATGTAAAGATGAGAACATGGAGCTGCCTGAAAAATGAAACTATTATAATTTAAGAGGAGTTCTTGGGTTCCTAAATGCAAAAGGCCTGAAAACAAAACGTTCTGCCCTCCAAAATCCAAAATAGCTGATCTAAGGTGGAAGAGGGGATAATTGGTGTTTGAGTAGAATAGGTTAGTTAAGCAAATGTGAGTGTCAGGCACAGCAGGATCTCCAAAAAAATTTAAAAGCCTAGCCAAGCTAAATTTAAAGAAATATAGCTCCTGACAAAGTTATTCTATATTTAACACATAAACAGAAAAAGTAACAGTATTGGTTAAGCTAATGGTTTTAAGTGCAATACACTCAGAGTTCTTGGGTGTAGGGAAAAGAAAGTTTTACAGAACTTCCATTTCCAATAGTCCATATTCAATTCAAAGTTGACTGACAATTTTTAAAATTAAAAATGAGACAATCTCTTGGTGGTTTATCAAATCAGCCCCATTCTCTTCATTAAGGTTTTAGGATGTAGCAGCAGTTAGGCTAAAGAGTCCCTACGATGGATTTTGTATTTTGTCAAAGCAGTCATGAACATGATCAAAGTTTTGAGATTGTTTTCCTTGTGTATATGGGTTTGTGTTTTTACTTTTTTACATTAATTCCACACAAGTCATACTCCAATGTTATCTCATAGCACCGAAGTCAGTCTAGATTCTTAAAAACCACACCAGCAGGCTTCAAGATAACGTGGCAGGATCATCAAAGCTGGAAAGACTTCTTGTAGGGACCCTGTCTGAGGATGAAGTAAAAAAAGCTGACCAAAGGTGAAGAGATGGCTAAGACCAACAATTTAAAAGTTATGTAGCAAAATGTGGTTTAAGATCAAGAAATGAAAGATTACAAAGTCAAGTCAACTGGTCAGAAGGTTCAAGACAGTCCTTCATGAGTACCTTTTTCAATAAGATGGTAAAAAGCAATGGACAAAGTCAACCTTAAGAAATGAACCAGGGGCAGTTTGGTGGCACAGTAGATAGAGTGCCAGCCCTGGAGTCAGGAGGACCTGAGTTCAAATCCGGTCTCAGACCAGACACTTGACACTACTAGCTGTGTAACCCTGGGCAAGTCACTTAACCCCAATTGCCTCGCAAAAAAAAAAAACAAAGAAAGAAAGAAAAAAGAAAGAAATGAACTGGATCCAAAATGACCACTTTAAATGACCAGTTGGCACTGTGTATGATGGTTGCTCCAATCCAACTTAAAAAAAAAAAAAAGAGGCCCTGTCATAGGAGAGATGCAAAGATAAGTAAGATAATTATGACCATCAAGGAACTCTAATACCCATCTATTTGAGAGGATAAAATATATGCAAAGTACTACCAATCAAAATGCAGTTAAGTGCTATTTAGAATAACAGAGGGAGAAAAAAAATCACTTTTAACTTCTGAGCAAGAAGTAGAGATCAAGAAAGTTTTCATGGAGGAAGTGACATTTGATCCCGCAGTTAAAAGATGGGTTTCTACTTCAATACGTGGGCTAGAAGGAAAAGGATATTCTAATTATGATAGGCTAAGCACTGGGGATAAAAAGAAAAGCAACAATCCCTACCCTCAAGAAGCTCACAGTCAAACAGGTAAGACAACAGGTGAACAACTATGTATAAACAAGATACACACAGGACAGATTGGAAATAATCAATACAGGGAAAAGACTGGCATTAAAGGAGATCAGAAAAGCCTTCTTACAAAATGTGACATTTTAACAGGTACTTTAAAGAAGCCAGGAAAACCAGGAGGTGAAAATGAGGACAGAGAGCTGAGAAATGGAGTGTCTTGTACAAGGCACAGCAAGGAGGCCAGTGTCACTGGACTGCAGAGGACATAGGAGTGAGTAAACAGTAAAAAGACTGGGAGAGTGTGTGTGTGTTATGAAAAGCTTTAAATGCCAAACAAGATTTTGTTTCATCTTACAGGTGACAGGAAACTATTACTGGAGTTTGATGAGGACAGGGCTTGGAGGGTACATGCAGCATTTTATTACAGGGTCAGACTCACACTTTAGGAACTCACACTACACACTTTGACAGCTGAGTGCAAGGTGGAGTGGTATGGGAAGAGACATGAGGCAGAGACCAGTCAGTAAACTACCGTGACAGTCTAAGCACAGCACTGCCGGTGGTCATGTCAGATGAAAGACGGGAGTATATGACACACGTCAAGAAGGTGTAATCTACAAACCTGGAAACAGACTGAATAAGGAGGAAAGAGGGAGGGAGGCAGCGAGCGACTGAAGCCCATATTCTGCTATCTCTCGATATTCTTCTCCTTTACAGTGTGAGGATCACTGGGCAGACTGTTGTCCTGGTTTGCCTTACTATCCTCTGTAACCTTCTACTTTTTTCAAATGTGCCAATTTTTCTGGCACAATACTATTTTATAACATTCATATGCCACAATTTGCTCAACTATTCTCCAATTTATGGTCACCCATTTTATTTCCAGTTTTTTGAATTATTAATAGCAAAGCAAAGTATTTTTATAAACACTTACTTAACATGGGAGACTCTGACTTGTCTTTGATCTCCTGGGATTATGTACCCTGTAGAGGTATTGCCCAATCAGAGAGTATCTACAATGTAGTGACCTTTCTAGCATTATGCCAAAGAGCTTTCCAGAAAGGCAAACCAATTCACAATTCCACCAACAGGCCTGCATCCTAAATGATTTGTCACTTGCAAGAAGTGTGCTGAGAGTACAGAACAGCTTCACCTTCAATTAAAGCTATTTTGTTACTTTTCTCTTGACATTTTAAGACTTAAATATCCCTGAAGAGTTAATAGGGCATATTTGTTGAGATGAAATACACAATAATTCAAGAGAAAAAAAGATTCAAGATAATGCAGGAAACAAATGGCTCCACATAATTACTTCACAATTTCTGATATGAAAACTTAATATATTTAAATCATAAATTTCGCTATTCAACATCATCATCTGTAATAATTTCACCAAAACCAAAGACTTGGAGACAACCAAAACCATACCATTTTGCAGGTAACAGACATACTTTCACACACATACACCTATTCCGGATTTGAAGAACAATCCTTGGACTGTAACAAATATAATTAAAATATAAAAGGCAATAGAGTCTGAAGGTGATTCTACTGATAACTTCCAACTGCATTACTATCTTCAGTGAAATCCTGCTTTTAGCATAAAGGATCATGACAACTAGATGCTCCATAATTACATAAAACACATACGTACTCTTTAGTAAATATTCCCCGAGGTCCTGTAGGAGTACCCTGGCTGGCATCAATGTTATTCGTCTCCAAAATGTTGCGAGCAGCAGGACTTAGCCGAAGCCTGAATGAGAAAATGCAGGTAACATAACACGAAAATTCAGTTATTTCAAATAAAATGATCTAGATCTGAGCTGTCAAACTCGGACAGAACCAATTCCCTGCAGGCTGACTTAGAAAACCACAAATCAGCACTATCTACATTGTATTGTATTTTTATTTATTCTGCAGAGCTTAATGATTGTCGTTTTAATGATTCACAAAACCAGTTTGTAACCATACATAGAGTTAAATTTCAAACTGTTTCAGGACATTCAAAATAATCTCTGTTACTCTGATGTACTTTATAGACAAAATATCTTTGTAAAACATTTAACCAATCACTGGTTCAAAATATTCGTTAAATAATGGTAAATAAATTTATGTAATAAAACAAAAGATTTTTTTTCAATTCTCATTTAGATGATTTAAATATCGTAAGGGAGATATGCACACACTACCTACTGCCTAACAATAAATAAAGCTTTTACTTTTTACAACCACCTCAAAAGGTAGAAGCTGAGAGCATCATCCTGATTTTACAGAAAAGGAAACTGAGGCAAGAACCGATCACATATCTAATTGGTGGTGGAACTCAAGTCTCTTGAGCCCTAGCCAATGGCACTTTTACATCCATGCAATACCATTAATACCTGACATTTATGCCTAAAAGTTCTCCCATATCTGGTACACTCTTCCTTCTTACCAGTGTTACTTAGAATCCCTAGCTACCTTCAAAGCTCAGTTCAAGTACCATCTTCTAAAGGAGGCCTTTCCAGATCCCTCTCCAACTACTAGTGATCTCCCTCCCTCCAAATTATCTTGTCACACACAGAGGTTTTTGTTTTTTTGATGTGTGAATGCATGCGTGTGGGGGGACTAGCTGTTCTTTCTCTGCCAAAATGTAGGCTCTTTGGGGACTGGGACCGTTTTCATCTTTTCTTTGATATCCCAACGGCTAACAGAAGGCTTAGAAAATAACAGACATTTAACATATGCTTATTGCTAGATTAATAAAGCACTTTACACATATTATCTCATTTGTTACTGAAAATAACTGTATAAGGTTAATGCTTCACATATTATCCTCATTTTTACAGATAAGGAAACTGAGGCTGAGAAGGTAAAATGACTTTCCACTGGTCACACAACTAGGAACTGCCTAAAGCAGAACTCAAATCAAACCAAGTTCTCTTTGACAAAGTCCAGCACTTTATTTGCCAGAAATCAGAGGGCAGAACAGTTATTTGTATTGTTAGATACTGTAGAAAACTTTTTATGATCTGACAAGCAGAGGAGATGCTTTGTTGGAAGACAGCCTAATTATGGCAGCCTTTTGCTTTATAGAATCAAATGTATTTTTATACTCAAACAACAAGCTCATTAGGGTTTTCTATAATTTTTCAGTTGTGTGACTACAAAGATGTGATTTACTGTAGAATATTACCTATGAAAGTTGATCTATTCCTTCCTCAAACCTTCATCGAGGGGGGTGTGTGTGTGTGTGTGTGTGTGTAGATTATTCTCCTACTTTGCAGAGACGATAACATAGACAATCGGGATGTTAGTAAATATATTCCTGAGTGCCTACTGAGGGGGTAAGTGGGCCAACGTTTTTCTCCCCAAATCTGGCATTTTCCTTTATCAGACATCCTTCAATGTCCTCAGAACTGTTTTGCCTCCAGCACAGACTTCCTCTGTGTATACTTGAGTTAATTTAGATTTTCCTCCCATCTTTGTTTTCTTTAATGTCTTTTCTTTTAAAAAAAACATTGCTGCTTTTTACTCTTACATCATATTTATTGTTAAATATTTCCTCTTCACTTCATGCTAGCTTCGCCTATTAAGAATTGTGTTTACATGCACAGCAAAACTAACCTAGAAGTTGACTGCATTTGCCAGCACATGTCGTATTTCATACCTAGACTTCCACAATGGAAGGAGAGGTCCGTGCTCCCAACACATCTCTTGGGCCCAGCTTGGCAATTCTAAGGACAAACATCCAGTTTTCCTTTACTATTCTTTCCTTTGACATGTTTATAATGATTGTGTGTACGGTTTTCCTGGCTCTGCTTGCTTCTGTCTCCATCACCAGTTTTGGCCATTGTGAGCAGGGCAGTACTATGACCCACTCAGCGACTCTGGGGCCGTTTCTACTTCCTCCTGTAGCACACTGGGGACCAGGCTGCTAGACTGCACAAACGTGGCTTCTCTATTGACAGCAATGGAAGAAAGAGGCAGAGAAACCTCGACAGATCTTCTCCAATTCTATCTGTTTGTTAGGAGGATCTTTTCTATAAGCCTATGCCTCCCTTCACTACCTTTCACTGCTGTATGAAATGACGCTGCTCGTAATCTTCCACCCTTCTACGTACAAATGAATTTACAAACTAACCTATTTTGTCCTTAACGGCCATATATTGCTCTACTTTTTTCTGGCTAAGATATTTTCCAGGAATTTTTGGTCTCCTCATCATAGCGACTTACAGAGTTATATAATTAAAAGTTATTTTTATTGATAATAATGACATCAGCTAAAAATCTCCATAGGAGCAGGAAAAGTCTTTTACCTTTCCTTGTATTCCTAACACTTGGCACAGTGCCTGGTATACAGCACATACTTAATAAATGTTTACTGACAGACACAGTGATATTCTGTGTTGATATCTGTTCCTTCATCCATTGCCCATGTTTGTTGTTGTTAGCAGTTGGTATAAACATGTCAGGTTGTAGCTACCTCAGTGGCACACTCTATTTTTTCATTGGTATTACTGCTTCTAATTTGATGTTAATTTTTATTTTTGCTTTAACAACTTGGTTGTGTGAATGGAAACAGAAAGCTGATTCATAAACGACTCCCATTTCCTATCTGTTAAAGCACACACAAAATAATTGAAGTTTACATTTTATTTTGGTGCTAACCCAGATCAGCATCTCCGAACTATTTTCTTGAAAAAGTAATCATGAAAAAGAGGCATGAGGTTTCTATGAAGTTTGCAAGCCTTTGGGCCCACTTACTGCTTACTCCTGAACTGTTTTCCAACAATATTATGCTGTCCTCCCCTATATCCACTTTTGCATCGAAATTCCTGAGTATAAAATCATATGTTGATTTAATTTACAGGATCTCAGCTATCTTTTCATCCTCTGAAACAGACGTTGGTGCTTAAGCTGCAATCATCTTCATGGTGGTCTTTTGGTAAACGCTCATCATCAGCACTAGAAGACAAGATGACCAAGGGACCCAGGAAGTGATTCTTCATATTGCCTTTGGACACACAATTAAACCAACTCATTTCTTCACCTATCGAAGAAGAATTTATGGGCCATCCTTCAATTTACCTGCAACTTCCAAATTTTTTTTGTTTCACTTATAATGAAAATATCAACACTGATGTGACTCAGTTCTGCCAGTAGTATGTCTACTTGGTCAATGGAAAAGGATCTCACGTTTCTAGTAACAACAGCTCTCATGTTTAAAGAAACCAATTGTGTGATTCTTGGTCCCCTGAAGCCCTTCTTCTGCCACTGTGTGCCACCATCAGGGTCAAGGCAGAGGGGGCCAAAAAAAGACCGAATACCACTTTGTGCATTTCTTTGTCTTGTGGGCTGCCATGAACAAAGAACTCATTACCAAAGAGCCAGCCTCCTGGGGATGAGCCTCTCCACACTTAACAAGGCTAAAGCCTTAGAAAGCAAATCTCATCTGTTGCTAGGACCTTACTTGAAGTCTTTCCAACATGGTAGAACCTGCCAGATATTACATACTGCTGGCAGAGCCTTCAAAAATTCAAGGGTATCTCACTGCCTTAAGGAGACATTGGTGTAGGTGATTGTGGGGGTGAAGAGAACAAACAGCAGTATTCCTAAGATACCAAGTATGGATCAAAACTCTTCTAATAGTAAATAAGATGGGAAAACATGAAAATAGAGAGGTCTACAACATATGGTACAGTTCTAAGGGGCACTTGCTTAGAAGAAAAAACAAAAACAAAAAACCTTTACTTTATGGAGGTCCTTCAAAAAGAAGGGATAAACCTAGTAAGAGATATTAAAAATGTTTTGTTAATCCTCCATTTGATGATTAAATTAGCAACTCATGAAATTTTGTTAATAGCAAATAAGCACACAAGAACGTGCAAGGAACATTCCTAAAAACACATCTTTATGAAGGAGTCTAACGAAGAGCAGGCAGTAAAATAGAGGGGAAAGAGTCATGGATTTGTAGTCAAAAAACTTAGACTTGCAACTCAACCCTGCCATTTATTTACCTGTGTGATATCAGAACAGTCACTGCCCTTTGTGAGCCTGTTTCTTCACCTAGATGATTCCTGTGGTCCCTTACTATGGTGAAATGCTAGGGGCCTATGATTTTGAGACCTCACAGAACAGCTCGCTAGAATAAGCATACTTTCCTCTGTGCCAGAAATTCAAACACAGGAATTAATTAAATTAAAATGAGGAATCACAAAACCAGTTGGTCTGTTTTTTAAAGTTACCTTCACTTTGTGTCAGTTGGCCAGGCATGTGATAATGGAAGCCCAAACCCATTGTCTAGAGCTTGTCAAAGGAGAAAACAATGATAGGACACAGTGATAAGAGCACCAAATTTGAAGCTGGAAGATCCAGGTTCAAATCCTCCCTTTGTTGTTCACTACTCATGTGGCCTAGGGGAAGTCATGGCACCTCTCTGGGAGTCAATTTCTTCATCTGTGGAGTGACAATTGGACTACATGGTCTCTGAGGTTCTTTCCATCTCTAAATCTTATGATTCTCAAGGGATACATTCTGGAAGCGGGAGAAGACCCAGACACAGCCACATGCTCTAGAGTCTATCTCCAGGATCAAACGCGGTAACACATGAAAAGTGCTTTTTTAACCTTAAATGTGCCACATAAATGCCAGCTGTTATTGTTGTTATTAATTTCCTACTCTTATCACAAGGTGACTTCTGGATGCAAAAACTGCCTTCCCAGCCCACTCACTGGGATCCTCCTTTGGGGAAATGTGGAGAGCAAGGGAAGAGAGAACAAGGAGAAGGGGAGTCCAGACAAGGAATTCAGTTAGCAGAATGCTATCCTCACCTCCAGCAGAGAGAGGACTGATGGCCATCCCCGCCTCCTCTGCAGCTGTTTCTTCATCTATAAAATGTCAATTAGACCAACATCCTTGGGCATTCTAAATCCTAGAATAGCTAGGAATGGCTCTGACAGATCAAACATGGCCTCGGAATCCAAATATCCAGCTAAGTTTAGTGCCCGGCTCCATGACTAGCTCACTGAGTGCACCTCAGCAAGGTGAGCTAATCGCTTTTTTTCTATGCCTCAAATTCTTGGGAAAAGAAGGAGAGAAAAGGCCCCATCCAGATCGTGCAACTTGAAAGCCCATCTAAGGATGGCGTACTCACGACAGTTTCCCAGCTGGGTGGGCCTTTGTGGCAGAAGCAGGAACCACAGCTTCAGCTACAAGAGGTGCAGACACAGGTGAAGCTGGGGGTGGTTGAGGACTCACGTCTTTGGGAATTTCAACCTGCTTCCAATCAGCTCCTTCCTCCACCATCAACCCAATTAGCGATCCTAACCGAATGCCTTTACTCCCTTCTTCAACCTTCATTTTGAAAGGGAAAAAAAAAAAAGGAAGCTAAATAATTATGAAAGGATGAAAAGTGTGCTGCAAGATTTGCCACACTTAAACTGGCATCACGAGGATGCCTTTTACTCTGAAAACAACAATTTAATTAATACTATCACAATTTCTAGAAAGGGTAAATCATTCAATTTCCCTATGGCTCTATTCGTCTGTTTCTTCATCTATAAAATGAACAGGTTAGACTATATATCCTTTTAAAAATTTAATTGTGCTTCACTTTCAAGTAACATGAATCTATTTTCTCTGCTTCTCACGTTTCCCTCCCTCTACCACTCCTCCCGTAGGGGATGGGGGCAGAAATCTTGTCACAGAGAGCAAAGTCAAACAAAAGAAATTCCCACACTGACCACATCCGAAAATGTGTGTCTCATTCTGCATCCTGAATCCACTCACCTCCTTGTCAAGAGGTGGGTTCTCATCATTACTCTCCTGGAACTGTCACAGCAGAGGCAGCAGTGGCCTAAGCTTCCCTGGTCGTCATTCCCGTCCAGGTGCTGCGTCCCCCTATTTGAACGTAATCTCTTCAAGAGATTACCCATACTGTCTCTCTTTTGAACCTGTATCCACAGTGTTTAGCACAAAGCCTAGGAAATCGTAAGTGCCTAATAAATGCTTTTAAATTCATTTACTCAACCCATCTTGGAGGTCTTCTAGTCCAATCTCCCACGAACCACAAAAACGCTTATAACAACAACTTCACCAAAATGGTTATAGGTACACACATTTAAAATTGAAACACATCTGGTGAAAAAATCAAGTCATATATGAACAAACAGTTTTCAAAGGAAGAAATCCAAGCTGCCGACAGCCATATGAAAAAAATGCTCCACATCATTAACAACTGGAGAAATACAAATTAAAACAACTCTGGGGGCTGGAGCTGCACTAGCACAGCAAGTTTTCAGCAGCTCCTACTGTGCGTGCCCTTTGACCCAATAATGCTACTACTAGGCCTCTACCCTAAAGAGACCAAGGAAAAGAAACCAGATCCAGCCCTCAGGACGAATGTGTGCTTAACTGCCTGGACAGTGGTCAGTCCCTCCCCAGCTGCATGTTTGCTGTGACACAGCTGGAGTTGTTCCTGGGTCCCTGCCGCTCAATCCTCTGCCCAGAAAACATTAAGAAAATATTTATGGCGGGGCTTTTTGTAGTTGCAAAGAACTAGAACCTAAGGAGATGCTCATCATCTGGGGAAATGGCTGAAAAAATGCTATAACATGATATAATGGAACATTACTGTGCTCTAAGAAATGAGAAAAGGGATGATTTTGGAGAAACCTACTAAGTATGAACTGATGCACAATGATGTGAGCAGAACTAAGAGAACAATTCACACACACACACACACAAAAAAAAAAACACTGAAAAGACAAAGAAAGACTTAAAAACTTAGATCCATGCTATCACCAACAACAATTCCGGAGCAGTAATGACAAATACAGAGCTCTTGACAGGCAGGTGGATGGATTCAAGATGCAGAATCAAACATATATTTTTGGATGTGGTCAGTGTGGGTATTTGTTTTGGTTAACTTTGCTTTCTGTTGCAAGGTTTCTGACCCCATCCTCTATAGGAGGAGTGATAGAGGGAAAGAAAGGCAGAGAAAATAAATTCATGTTGCTTGAAAGTAAAAAATAATCACATTTTTTAAAGGATATCTAGCCCAACCTCCTCATGTTATAGATGCAGAAACAGAGAGCCAGGAAATTAACTAACTTACCACTGATCATATAGAGATTACATTTCAGAACTAACATTCAAGTTCAAGTCTTCAGAATCCCATACTATGGCTTTTTCCACTACTCCAGAATGCCTCGTCATTTATTATATTTAAATGTTTACTACAGATCCCTGCACCGTGTTGGGAGAAACATAAAGTTTAGATAAGATGGGGTCCCTGCCCTCATGGGAAGTGAAAGTGGAGTTAGTCTGGGAGAAGCACAAACATAAATATATATATATATATATATATATACACACACACACACACACACACACACACAAACACACACACACACACATATATGCACATATATATATACATACACATACATTTATAATACACAGTATCACAAATAAACTGCTAAGTATTGAGTAACAAAGAATTTCAGAGATGGAAGAGACCTTAGTTGCCACTCAGTTATGAGACAGATTATTTTAATTGGAACCCTATTTTATTCCAACAACATTAATCAGTTTAGTGTGATTCTACAGGGGTAGTGATTGTTAGCAATCACAGCATTATACTTATCAATATATATTTAGTCGGCGATAGGTTCTTTCTCACAATAGGCTTTAAACTACAAGCTGTAAGTTTACTAACTTGTCATAAAGTACACTTGCTTAATCACGTCATGTTGACTAGAGGACCTCCATCCTCTTGGCCTGATGCATGTGTTACCAAGGCCAGAATGGGTGAGAGGACCTTCGGATCTAACCGTCATGCCCAAACACTGCATGGCAGAGAAGACTTAATGGTAATGGAAAGTCCTTCAACTTATTTTGTTTACCTCCAGGCTATCGTCTATTGCCCAGCATGAGGAGGTGCCCATCCTATGACCACCCTTGCAGATTCATCACCTCCAAAACTTTTGGAAAGTCTGGAGAGTCAAGGATAGGTCTAGGAACCAATGAGATTCTGCATTTTACTCTGCTTCATTTGTATCATCCTAGTAATCAAGCACTATAAAACTAAGGTCCTAGAAACAGGGGTTATCTCAGATCAGGAGGAAGATCTGAAGTCCCATTCACTTAAGGAGGTCCACTCCCTTTACTAAATGGCTACTGGCTTGGAGTTCTGCTTCAATTTCTTTTACTGTAGACTGTCCAGATTGGACAATTTTGAACCCCATATATGGAGACAGGAAAAAAAACACTCTCCCCGACTACCTCCAATGAAAAGCAAATCACTCTTTATGGAGTAATCCTTCTACTAGTTGAATATCTGTAACTGTTAAAAAAAAAATTTTTTTTTCATATACTAATCCAAAAATCTGTCTCATAATAAGCTTTCAGTTATATTCTAGTACAACCGAGGACAGGTCTAACCTCTCTTCTTTGTGACAGGCTTTCAAATATTTGAAGACTCCCAATGTGCCTTAGCTCTCTTCTTACAATATCTAGTAAGTATAAATCAGCTAGGATATGCTACATGGCACACTAACTACTGACATTAATTTGAATTGCACATAAGGCAATAATATGTAATGAAATCTACTTACTGAAACAAAATCAAAGTCATATGGTTTACATGTAAACATGTTACATATTCTTTTCCCAAAAAGGAAACTGGCTGAACTAACTACACTACAACTCTATGAAATTTTATTGGCATTCTAATGAGCAGAGTATCCATCCACTTCTGTATCATACCTTAAGAAATAAAGCAAGATCACTAATTCCAGATTGAGTGGAAGTGGAGTTAATGCTAACACTCAATGACTAGAGAGAAGTTTATCTTTCCTAGGCAAACCCTTTCTCTTCAAAGGGAATACAGCATGACACAGATGAGATTGGAGGGTTCAAGTTTGAAATGTTTATGAGAAAAACAGTCATTTTAACTTGATCTGAAGCCTCCATAAATAACAACTGCAATTACAGAGCACAGAAAGGCCATGGGATTGAAGGAAGACCTGGACTGAAATCTTAGTCTGCCATCTAATAGCTGGGTATATATATAATCCTTCAGGGACTGAGTTTTCTAATCTGTAATGAGAAGTTTGAACTGCAGAAAAAACTTTTGAGCCTAGTCTGAGTTATTATAGGCATGAGGGGGATGGGGAAAGAAAAGGAAATTTTTTCTCTTCAAAAATATTCTCTAATTCAGAGTTTTCATCAATGTAAATTGTTCTTACCTTTTAATTAGGCTAAATAATGTTTTGCACACAGATTTCACTTAGCAGACAATAATATCATGCAATAAATTTCAAACCTGGTCTACCCAACCCAATTTTTGCTTACATTTCCCCATAATCAGCAAAATTGCTACAGCTTGTCAGTGCAATCAAATTTGAATATGACTCAGCTTTGAGTATTTAGATATGTTAACTGGCTATAGAGATTTTTGCTTATTATTGGAAATTAAGCAAATGTGGGTTAGGGAAGAATGTCACTAACTTTAATGGTCAACCTAAATCCATGAAATATATGGAGTAGCCTTAAAATGATAAAACATTATTTCTCAAGTTAAGAAACTTTGAAAGATTTCTGGTCCGTGGTAAAGTTGAGTAAAATGGTGTTTTATGCAAAGCAAAACTGGAAAAGAAATAGTTATATATTTTTGAAAGTTAGAACCTATTTTTAACTAAGAAATTTTTTAAAAATCCGAGTAGGGTTAATTAGCATTACATGATGCTAATAACTTCAGCCTGAATATAATTCCCACTGACAAGCACACTTCTTTAATTGTATCTTACAATATAAAATTATTCTAACATTCCTACTTTTGCAAAGTCTGCTAACTTTTCTTTATTGTGACTTAAGTTGTGGCAAGTTCAAGTCTACTACTGTTTTCAGATTTTTCTTTTCTTGTTAAAATGATTAATTACTTGTTCATGAATTATAAAATATTTTTAAGTCAAAAAAGCAAACCACTGCCTAATAAAGTTAAATTTCAACTAAAAACTTGTTAAATGATAGGAAATCCAAACAAAGTTAACTCTTTTCAAGTCTGAACTAGGAACAAGGTCAAATTAAAAATAAACATCAAACTGGTTCAAAAACATTTTCTTTTTAAATGTTCAACTGGCCAATATGAATAGTTCTCTGAATATACATATATCCTCTACAGTGTAAGTGTTCTCTGAATATGAAAGTTCTCTGAAATCTGGGTCAAACTAAATAAAATATGAGACTAAATGACCTCACCAAATCCTCTTTTACTACTCAAATAAGAATAAATACATTTGTCTCTCAAATATTTTTTTTCAATATTCTCCTAAATGATGTCCTACAGAGAT